AAGCGTAGCGTAAGTGTAGAAAGTGCATTCACAAGAACGTTAATGGGGCCCCGCCCGAACCCAAACCCAACCCCCTGGCCAACGTCAGATCAGAGAATAGGCCCCAACCAAACCCAAACCACTACTAGCGCGGTTTCAGAGCTGATAGCATAAACATGCAATACACATCCTCCGCACAGTGAAGGCAACGATGGCAGTACACCTCATCTGCACCCAGCGTCCGAACCAAGCCTGCACCCCCCGACTATCACAGAGGTAGTCATTTCGATCCTCGTTTCGATCCGTAGGAATGGTCACGCGACAACGGCCAACCGCACGTCCTGCATGCTGGAATTCTTCAAGACCCCAAGCCGGGCCAGATTCAGGGCAGGCTTGAAGTCTCATTCGTGGGCCCTCCTTCACAGACTAATCCTTCACAGGTGATCGTGGGAGTCACGGGCTCCCAACCAGCAGAGGTTGAAGAACCCGAACTAGACTATCTTATAGGTACCCCTGGTGACGGGTCCGAACGTTCAGGTCACTGTCCACCTCTGTAGGAAAAGGTGCTCCGAAGCATCGAACTGTGAACTCACACCAGAACGAAGACTCCGTTGGTTGGATCGAAGCGGAGATCAGGGGATCGATGATGATGTGCGTGCTTCGCCGTGCGTCGCCGTCGCTCTTTTGGGGAAGAAGCCGTGTCTTTCAGGGGTTTGGGGGGTCGATTTCTCCACGTACTTCCTGGGAGCGACCATGACGAATTATGGCACCAAAGTAACCCCAAGTTGGTGATTGAACAAGGGCCAGTCTGGTCATTCCTAAGGTTCTCAAGTGCAGCATGTCTGGTAATAGGCAATAGGCCCAAAAATCATCCAAGCTGGCTGTATTCTGCATCCGCAATAAATACGGTGGTGAAGCAACCTTCCCCGTTGGTTGCGGAAACGACCCTGGTTGGGTCCTTGGGTCCCGCAGCACGGGCGCACGCCTGGAGCAGAAACAAGCAAGGCAAGCAAGGGACGATGGATGGTAGCAGCCAGCGCATCCAAAACTGCAGGCTTTGAGGCTTTGCTCACGCCATAATTCTGGATGTTGAAGGTCGCCTCGGGACCGAACGTCTCTCGGTCACGGTCCCTTGTGTGTTTCTTTTTTCATGCACGACCGGGGGAAAGCCCAGTGAGCACCACAGCAGCAAACTGCAGCATCTGTAATGAGCTAGTATACAGTTATTGTATATAGTATAGTCTAGTATACTTATATACTGTAATGAACTATATAGGTACAGTAGAGTCTAGTAGTGGGACTATGCCGGTGAAGCTCCTAAGCTGAGGTCTGGGGGGGGTCCAACAGGTCCGATAGATGTCGGGTGCAGCTGCGCTCTGCTGCGCGCTCCGAGCTGTGCTCCACCTAAAGGTGCGCCCATCTTGCGCCCCCCAAAAAAAAACGACGGAGGCTAAAGAGAGCTCTGAAAATGGTCGGACGAATGCTAAGCACAGACTAAGCTTGACGGTCAGTTGTTCCCTTCAACAGCAAAAAAATGTGCCAGTGTTCACTTGGACAAGGACAACCAAACTAGAGCGGACCTTTTCCGAAATCTTGTACCCTGTCACCTCTTCGGATTCTTCAGATCGATAGATCGGATCCCATCCTCGCCCAACCCACCGAACGGACCCGAACGCTGAACCACGGGACGAAGAAGACCCCGTCACAGCTGGGCGCCTCGGAGCGGACGCGGCGGTGGAGACCGGTGAAGCGCCCCGGCATCTGGGCTATGTATGGCCATTTGGCGCTTCAGAACAGGGTGCGGTGCGGTGCTAAAACCCGCGGTTTGGGTCGGATGGACATGGGCGTCCTTCCTTCAGGTGCACCTCAAAACCTGTATTCCTCCTGTGGCATCAGGCGGATCCAAAACGTCGGGGGACCCTGGGACAGACCCCCCATCGATCGGAGGTGCTGCTTCCTCGTCTTCATCGGTACGGGATATCACCAGAGCTCTGCCATGGTTCTGGTGGAGGAGGTGCCATGACGAAACCAGCCACATCGCCATGACTCTTAGCATCTCTTAGCCTTACTTTTAGAAAAAAGACGGATTCTTAATCAGGTCAAGTTTGGACAGTAACTGTATGAGTTTGCCACGTTTTAATCAGTCTCATACTAAGAACCATGGGACTTGAACCAGTACTTCACCCATACTACAGTGAAGCTTGGCCACTACTTTTGAAGATGCTTACCTTGGAAACACGGCCTATGGATGAGGATCAACACGGATTTGCATTGTTCATCACTTCCCTTTGTAGGACTCGGTGTCACACTGGTTCATCAACTCATGAATATTCTTCGCAGCATGAATGGGCAGTTGCCCAGCATGAACTCAGAAAGCGCGTACTCGTCCCAACCACATCCCCTTCCAAAGCTGGCTCCCCAACCTCTGTAAGGACTTGTTCGGAGGCTGCTGATACCGCAGCCAGAGTTGGAAGAAGCCAGCAGAAAGGCAACATCGCAGCATTGCCATCTATGGTGAGTATGCCATCTCTGGAAGTGAATGTGCCAACATGGGGTCCAACTATCCTGATACATGGTTCATGGTCTTGTGGTCTGTCGAACATACCAACGAACATGACCGGTATGTCGGTTTCACGTGGTCTCACCAGTCAAGAATAATTCAGTATGTCTAAGCACGTGCAAGTAGCCTTTAAGTGAAAGACTTGAAAGAGAGGCTTGATCATAAGCTATAGCTGCCACTTTCTTACAGGTCCTACGGTGAAATCCTTCGCAGAAGACGAGCCGTGGCTGAGGCAGGGCGGAAGACGATGGCGCTGGAAGCTCTTGCGGAGCAGTGCCAGAGGTTACAGTGGGGAACACGTTTGACCCCTGTTTTGATAGGAAAAGACCATGTAAACCTCACTCAGGCAAGCACCACCTGTTCCGTTTTGGAGGGGTCTTCCCCCATCTCCAAGACCTGCAGGTGACCTTTCTGGCGATCCACCAAACCACTTTCGTGGGAACACGGGTTCCTCACGTTCGCCTGCCGGACCACGGGAAGGCTGCGAATGGTCCAAGAAAACAAAGGGAAAACGACCCGGGTTCGGTCAGTGCAACCACAGTGCGACCACCTCCATCTCATCGTGGATTCTCTTAAGGAACTGGGAAAGAAATCTCACATACCCTAAGAATCAAGTACCCTCAGCCGGTGAAGGTTTGGTTCGGGTCCAAACTCCTTGTAAAAAAGCAGGGTCCAAACCCTCCAGAAGTGGTGGGGTCTAATGATTCTTAGGGTAATATGTGTTCACCATTCACCACAAGACCATCTCATGGTTCGGATCGGATCCCGAACGATCTGCTGCTGTCAGCGAGAGGAACGGTTGTTCAGTCGGACTCCGAGTCGGAGTGGTGCCATCGATGGTGGCGAAAGTCGTGTATGTGGCGAAACTGGTTCAATTCATTGAAAATAACAAAACTGTGGCCTGGCCTCTGAAGCAGGTTTGACCATCCCCAGACATGGGAGAGTCTGGGATTACGGGGGATTACTGTATTCATTCCTGAGTCTATGAAGTAGTCATGGTCAACATGTGAAAACCTGTGGCTTCTCCACGTCCGACTCATGGTCAATGATGAACCGCACCGAATGTGGCTTCTCCTCTGGTTTACCACGAAGAACGACGGACTCTGGAGAAGCCGATGGAGAATGGTGTGGGGACGTTTGGCTGGAAAATCCAACTCAGAGATTTAGAGGGGATAACAAGTGGAAGTGGCCTAAACCACAAGAGGATGGCATAGGCCCTAGGCTCCCTCCTCATGCCATTGACGACCATTGCCATTTCCCTTATAAGTTTGGACGACCATTTCCCTGGCTCTCTCCAAGGTCATGGTTACATGGCCTGGCGGAAAGAGGATGAAATCCGCATAACAAATAGGGAGTGAACTCCACTACGCTTCTTCTTCCTGGGAGGGTCAACATCACTCACCAACCATTCCTGGACCGCTCCAGGAAACCATTTCAATGACACCACCAGAGGTCTGAGCACTGGGGTTTGTCTCAATAGAGATACACCCCCCCATCAGGACTTAGCTCGAATCCCAGGTGGTTGTTTGTATAGGGACTGTCCAAAAATTGTCTAGGTTCACTTGAGCCAAGAGTTCTGAGGGGAGTATAGAACGGTATAAAGCAAATCCAAATTCCTCCTTTTCAGGCACTTGCTAATCTATCTACACATCTTCCAAAAGAACATGATCCAAATCGTTGTCCCTTTGGGGGGGCCGTCTCCAGCTTGTTTGAGCTTCGGACCGTCTTCGTCTTGTCTCGGTTTCGGACCGTCTCCACAGTCACACCACGGCATGCGGAGTTCGGCGCGAAGACCAAGGGAGATGGAGATGGAGGTCCAGAGTTCGGAGTTCGGTTACGATCTGAATCTGAACGCGAAACAAACGCACAACTAAAGGGCAGTGTTTGAGATGTGACAGACAATGTGACACATTGTGACACAACTATTCTATGAGAAAAACCTCGCTTCTAGGTTGGAGGCCATCGCTAGTAAGTTGGAGGCCATATGAGAAAAACCTTTGGAGCCAGGCCAAAACGCTTCGACGCTGGCCTCGCCAGGGAGTGGGAGCGCCGCTTCTGGCGCCCGAGGCCGTCGCTCGGGCCTGGCAACGATCAAGAGGGGAGAGGAGGGGAGATCCGAACTCTGGGAAGGACACATGAAGAGACCCCACAATGGGACTTACTATCTTGCTGCACTCTTTTGCACTCTTTTAGCCGAAACTCTAAAATGTCACCTATAAGGCTGGGAGATGTCAAGTTTTCCCAACCAAATCAGCTGGGATTTGCTGGGAAAAAGATAATAGATTGTAGAAATTGTGACGTATCGTGACGAATGCCCAAACAATTCAGGTCGGTGGCCAGTGGCCAGGAAAAAGAACACTCCCATAAGGTCTAAACCTAAACTCCTGAATCGAGATCGCCACCAATCAAAAAGAAAACTGACGGTGTTCCCAACAAGAACTTCAAGGAGCTTCAACGGTGGGCCAGGATCTGGCACAAGGATGTGGTGACGAGGATGTGGCCTTCTGCTGTGGATGACCTTAGGATCAGGAAACCCATCCATCTCTCTTTTCAGACTCCCTAGGCCCTGCTTAGGCATGGATGTTTTGTTTTTGTATGTTTTGTCCACTCTTCGAACCTCTTCCCAACTTTCTCAGAAGTTCCCTTGTCCCATCTTGCTTCGACCTCAAGATCCGTATCTTCGGAGCTTCGATTTGGGACGCACCGAAAAGCCGAGGCCGCGGAGCGGCCCTTCGACTACAAGAGCCGATATAAGAACTCCCCCAAGACAGACCCCCGCGATCTGCAAGTCTTCGCCTGAAGAGGTGACCGTGACTCCTAGCGCGTGAAGTGACCGTGGTTTGCTCAAGAAACACGCACGAAAAACTCGGAGCAGGTCGGTATACTTATAATTGGGCCCACCACCAGGGTGTGTTTTCTTGGAAGAACTGCGCCAAAGATATTTGCATTCATCATGTGTCATCACCACCACCACTCGGTTGAAGTTGGATTTCCCGGTGTCTATGGGAAGATCTGTATCCACTAGTCCGCCTCTCTCGAAACACAGCTGATAAAGGGGATTTTTCTTCGCGAGAGTAGAGGTCTAGATTCACTTGCCAGCTTTATAGCATTGGTGGACATACATGATATTGTATGAGCTAATACAACATCATTTATGTGATACTATAAGATCTAATACAACAGCATTTGTGTGATGTATATGATACATTGGGCTATACAAACAAAAAAGACACAAGTCACAAAACACACATGTTAAACTCGCATCCAGCATCTGTTCACGTGTTTGTCTCTTTGACGATGTCTTCCACGGTCCGCCACGCTCCGCCACTCTTCCACGGTCCCCCCCGGACGTCGTGTCTCCTTCACCGGCTCTCTGGACTCCTTGGACTCGGTCCTTCCGCCGGGCGCAGCGGACGACCGTCTCCCGGGCGCAGCGGACGGCGGTGCATCGGAAACACGGCGGCGGCATGGAGGGCAGACGACTGGACTGGACTGCGGTGCGAGGTGCGCTGTGCCGGCCAGGGGTAGAGCATGGGACAAACATCCTTTAAACTAGAGTGATGTACTCTCAACTGAAACTTCGAGTCCCCCCCTAGGAAGAGGTGGTTCAATCTACGTCTGGGGTGGTGATTGTTTTGTTCAAGAAAGAGAGTCTACAGTAACTACTACATGGTCCACTGAAATGGCCAAAAAACGTCGGGCCTTCTTCGGGAGGCGACCGACCGGGCACGAGGTACGTGGAGTACCTGGTGGACACCTTCGCTTCACACTGGTGGACTGGTCCTTCGCTACATCGAGTGACCTAGGTCACGAGCCTGACGAGGGAGCCGGGTCGTGACCCCTTGGAGCTGGGAGGATCAACTCTCCAATATATGGTCCAAGTTCCTATCAAAACAGAGGTCAGTCAGTCAGTCAGGCTCTATAGGTATGTAGACTCTGTAGACTTTGGATGAAGAAATCCCCCAAGACATGGACTGCAAGAACTCCTCCAGGCCTACAGGGATAGGTTGTCATATCATCTAAGAGTTTACATGATGGGTGTATCCATTTTGTTATCCCCTCCTCGCACGATCCAGCCCCATCTCTTGATCGATTGGCATAATTGGCTAGGAAGACCGAAGGGCAACATGTTTGGACACGAGAGGTGCAAAGCCAGGTGAGTCAGGTGAAGCAGGTGGGTGATGAGGATTCTTCTGAGTTTGTCACAGAACCTATAGGGAAGATCAAACAAACAATGATGATAATTTCAAAAATAGTTCAATGGTTGTAGAAAGCTCCGCTTCGCCCTCGGTGGCCGCCACAGTTTAACTGGTACCTTCTCTTCTTCCGCCCTCCACTTGCGTCGCCTGTCTTCCCGATGTGTCAACGACGAGCGCGCGCTCGGCTCCTGATTCTGGGATCCAATGGCGTTCCCTGCAGCGAACGGTTCGGTCTTCCGTGGCCAGACCGACGATCGAGAAGAAGACCGAGTCTCGCCGCGAGCGATCGTGCGGAAGGTGGGTGCGGAAACCGAAGATGTTTTGTTCAAGCCACAGACCTGTGGGCAACTTGTGTCAGGGTTTCGCTTTTTGTTGGTCTGTGAAAAATGAGCAAAGGGGTTTCTGCAAGAGCTTGGTAGATCTCAAGGAGGCTCTCCATGAAAAATGACTCGGAAAAAAACCACAAGCTGCATGGCATGGCAATTTTGAACCAGAGGATTCCTGATGTGCCTTTGCTAAAGGCATCAGGAACCATCAAGAAACTATCCTTCAAGGAATGAAGTCGACCCAACTGCAGTTCCACATCAGCCAAGGTTCTTGAGTTCATAGATGCCCTTGAACCATCTTGAATCTAAATGCACGTGACACTTTCACAATGGAGTTGTTATCAAGGTTCATACAGCACACAATATTAGGCTCTTGACTAATATTACCCCCAATTGACTTGAATACAAAAGGGGTGGTTTTTAAGATCAAGAGTCTACAGTTCTGACCCATGCTCTACCCCTTCAGCCCTGACCCGCGGTGAGTTTCGGCGTTGCACCTGGATTCTTGGAGGCCCATGCGGGGCTTCTTGAGCTTCCTGCAGCACGGACACGAGCCCATGTGGGTGCCCCCCTTAAGGGATTTGTGGACCCTATGGCTATAATATAGAAGTCCCTACCATGGATGTGAGTTTGAGCAGAAACACTTCTAATCAAAATCCATCAAAATCCAGACAAATAGAAGCAGCTTCTGTCAGGTTCCGTAAAGTTCTGTTCCTGTTCCCTTGCCTTCCAGGGTCAAAAAGGCGGACATGGAGCAAGAAAACGCTCCACAATAGAGCGGCCCACAAATTAATCATGACTTCCCACACCGCTCAGCCAGCAATGAGACTTTTGACAAGTCTGGGACGACGGGGGAGGACCTTAGTATACGGCCTGTCCCCATGGATGGGTTGAAGAAGCGATTGGCTGCCAGGGTGCGTACCCCGGCGTTCACCCACTTCGGTGAGACCACTGTCCCACTCCTGCTCCACCCGACACCCCCATGAACAGCGAGCTCTCCCCCATCTCGTCGGCTGCCATCTTGTACTTGTGTGTTTCTCCTCGATTGGCTCGGACCACGAGCTCCACTCCTGCTAAATTGCAAGCATCTGTCTGATCGTAACACATCAATTTTGGCAGAACGCGACACTAGCTTTCGTGCTCGATTGGTGGTCCATCCGTGGGGTGGAATTTGCACGCTATACTCTCCATGACTGATGGTGCCCTAGTCCATGCTCGATCAGTTGCAAGATGACATGCCAAGTGGTTGTTGGCCGGGTGCGACGTCCCAATCTTTGAACTCCACTGGCTGCGAATCGGCAGCACGAAAGTCTGTGAACCGGTTTCCATCCATGTCCCGGCTGATGGCCAGTGGCTCATGGCATCGGAAGAGGCAGTCTCCAGCGCGTCTCCAAGTCTCCAAGCCCGGCACCAACCAACTGACCATGCTCACCCGGTTCGACTGGCAAAGGAACAAGATCTGGGACCGGATGTCCACCCTGACGACGAGCCCCGTCCCCTGCGACTGCACCATGTGCTGGAACAGCTGGCGCAGGAATGGGGGGGTGGCCGCCACAGGAAGTACCACACCTAGTCGGGCCCGCTCTTGTTGAGCATGCTGCTCTCCAGATCAACTGCTGAAGATCGGCTGTGCTGGGCGAAACCGGTAGATCACATTGGGGTCCACTCCCAGTGGCGCACCAGCTCCGATTGGCCATGTTCTCCAAGCAAACCAATCTTCGTTGACACTTGACACATCCTCTGCATAGATGTCACCGTCGGGTGCGACAGTGATCCATATACAGAGCGATCTACACATGCTAAGAGGCATCGACAGTGCCAAAAAGTGTCACCCTCGTAGTAGACTAGGATGCTATCCCCTGCTTTCAGGCCTCCAACTGATTGCAATGCCAGGGGGGGCCGGCCATCCGACGTCAAGGGCTTTGCACTCAGAATTGTGGCAGCAGACTCACTGGCAGGTTCCGCATTTGGTCCTCGTCGACCCCACCAAATCCACCCTACTCCAATCGTCACCAACCAGGGAAGTAAATTGAAGTGGATGTGGCCAGTAGAGCAGCTAGCGGGAGAACAGGTCAATGATCCAAAGGTAAATGCCTAGGACATTCCAATGCCTAGGACAGCGTCTCACAGCAAAGGTCTGAAAGGTCTGACGCAAAGCGCGAAAAAGCATTGCATCTATCTGGGCCCCTGCTAGGATCATCTAAGGGCCCATACTCACTTGAGACCAGCTTGTGTACGCCATTAGATCATAGTTATATAGGCCCCCAACTAGAAAAACGATCCCCACTAAACATGTTTTGGAAACTGTGCCAATATCTATTTAGAGCCACTATCATAAGATGATTATAGCCTCAGGTGTCATCCCACGGCTGCCACCTTCCCCGGTCTGCGCCTGCAGCGCGAGTTCCAGCGCGCGCCGCGCTTGCAGCCTCGGAGGTTTGGGGGTTTGGAGACGGAGGTGACAGTGGATGACATGTATGAAAAACAGTGAAGACGTTGCGCCACTTGGCGCCTGCGCGACACAAATCGTGTTTTTTTTTTTACCAGGCGTTGGCCGTAGACATGAGACATCGCATGGCCACCAATCCGCCAAGCCGCTCCCAGAAGTGCCGCCCAGTCGGGTTTTCCTAATGCATCAGTCACCCATTGAACAGATATCGTGCCCATTCGAGTGAATTGGCTCTTCTCAACTGGAAGATGGAGATGGAACACTCCCACTACTACGTTTGCCCACCTGCGGCAGAGTGATAGATTGAACAACCCCACGAATGCAGCGCGCAAGAGATTCGCAGAACGTCTCAGGACCGAGTCACTTTCTGTCTCGACGAGTCACTTTCTGTCTCGGCGCGACGGAAACACCGGTTTTGGATGAACTGACGACACTGGAGCGCTGAAGTTTCTTCACCCCAAACGTGCTCCAGTCGCACCTCCTGCAGGTTTGGGGAACCTCCTGGCACCCACCCCAGTGCCACCTTTGAAACAAAGGTACGACTGGAGCTAGCCCTGGGCATGGCTAGTAGCATGGACAGCATGGCGCCCCTTAGCTGTTTGCTCCATCCAGCTCTAATCATCACAGGTCCTTCACACAAGGTCGAGCGGCTGATGCTGCACACTGGAACTCGATGATGCACCTGCCACGCAGAAATCTGCACTGCCCCAGTCTTCGTCTCGGGTTTCGGGGCGGCCGACATCGTGGCATCGGAACCTAAACCGAAGGACATCGCCGGTCTGCCAAAAACCCCACGTTTTTGGAAAAAGGGCTCCGAGTCTTTCTGTTTAAAGGGTCATTTATAGGTCCTAAAAAAGGTCTTCCATATATGCTAGACATCACCACATCTGCACCCTCGTCTTCGCCGCCCTCTCTTTGGTTTAGGTCGCAAGCGGAGAGAGGTGCCCAATGGATTCACCCGTAGATACCAACGCCTGGAGATCGGACAGAAGCTCAGAGCTTCTTCTGGTCACATCCTCTTCACAAGATAGATCTGTGCTTTCTCTAAGATCTCACAACACGAGATCAAGACCTTCAGATCAAGTTGGATATATAGCGCGCATATGATAGCAAATGGCCTGCCCTGTCCTGCCCTGACGGCGAGGACAATGCTTTCGCCGTCGCACCTCGTTGGGGCCAAGCGGGATGCGCCTCGGAGCGGAATCCGAAGGAGCTGGGAGGCCCAAAGAGCGTTGGCTCGGTGGTTCGGTCGAGGACGGGCCATTCAATCAAGGGTGAGACCAGGAACCTTTGGGGGGGGGGAGAGAGATTTGGATGGGAAAAGGGATGCTTTTTTTGGTGGAAAAGAACAAATCAAGGCAAACTGAACTGATCAAACAACACGAGATCGAACTGAACTCGATGAAACTCATCCCACATCATGAAGCCGGGAAGCGCACCAGTTCGACCATTCGTTCCTAGATAGATCCTAGATCTTCCACCTACACAAGATGTCTGCCTTTTGGCTAGTCTTACAGATGAAAAGGCATAAATGTTGCATAGTTCTAAGATCATGGAAGATCTATAAACATTAAAAAAAATAACGTGTCGACTCTTCCTTGTTCCTGGTACACCATTTTTTGATCATGGAAGATCTATAATATAGAGTCTGCCTTCTCAAGGTCACGAGTGAATTGCATGCCCAGGTTGTTGCACGGCCCGTTCCGCGGCCCGTGCACAGCTGCTGAGGGCCCGCGCCACGCTGGGCCGAGCGAAAGGGATCTGGAAAAGGGTGGAGTGAAAGCGGAAACTGAAGGGTGGGACGAAAGGAGGGAATAAGGGAATAACTAACCGGATATCCTAATATATCCTAATGATTCTAATCATTTAGTATCTATTTTCTTCCCCGTACTGATACCTTTAGGATCCAGCCACCTTCATTCTTTACTTTCATCGCACCAGTCAGGAAGGAGCGGAGCGGACTGGTTCTCGTGCTGGATTCCCCAGGCCGTCGTTCGTCTGAGGCATCAGCAGGTCGCTCAAGTTTCAAGTCCAAAAAAATGCGACTCACTTTACCCGGTTCCCAGGCGTGCAAGTTTGCACGACTCTTGAGAAGGGGCCCCCTTTTTTCGGGGCTCAAATTGTTTCAAAGTCTTGAGAACTGCGAGGAAACACACAGTTTAGAACAAGATGGCGCTCAACTCGGAAAAAAAGGAGTCTCATCGCATCAGCCCCTAAAGTGGGTTGTTCGTAAAAGGAAAATCGTCCTCCAAGAGTACCATCCATGCAAGCATGTGAGTCCGAGTGTGGCCTCCAGCCTCTGAGATTTGGTGTTTTTCACCACCAAAAAGATCGTCCACACCAGCCTTCCCCCACCAGCCTTCCACTACTCCAACCACAGTGCCTCCAGACGACTATGACTATACCCGACCCGAAGAAGACGTGCCTCCGGCGAAAGAGACCGGGAGGATCGAGTGGGTCTCACCTCAATGGCGAAAGACGTGTTTTTTGCTTCGCGGTGACAGATGAATTGTGAATGAATTCCCCCTACGACCGCATGACCTCCAACCAACGACCGCGATGGCCTCCAACCTACGACCGCGATGGCCTCCAACAACACCTTGTCACCTTCTGGCAAAAAATCGCCCATGAATGAATTTTATAGAGAAGGAATTGCCATGAAAAAACACACATGTTCTGAAAATGCTGGCTTACTGTGGCCCGTGAAAGCAATTACTGTTCATTGCGACAATTCAGCCACAGAAAGAACTCGCCACCAAGCTTAGGACTTAGGATTCTGGATGGAATTGGGCGGATTTGGATGGAGCCGCGGGTTTTGGGGACGGCAAAACCGAACGGTCGCCATCTGACCCTTGAGTTGGGAAAGTACAGCTTCAGCAGCCTCCATGGAATGATGGTTGGGATCACTTGCTGGGTATTTTATAGAGAAAGAATCGAAAGAATGAGAAATGATATGTCTATAAAATGGATGGCAAGTGATAAAATCTACACTGGCAAGGGTGGTTCTATATAAATGTCAAACCAAATGGCGGTTTCATGCGTTTTCCTTCAGGTTGCTTGAGGGATTGACAAGCGTCTATAAAATACTAAAACCAAATTCCAAGAGCCAAAGTAAGAGATCTCTATGAAAGGCAAAACATGGACAGAATGCATTAATGGGACCCCGCCGCAGCACCGCGCAGAAACGATGCAGCAGCGGAAACAATCGATACGGGGGGAACCGAAAAATAACAGAGAAAAAGCAGCCCATCTCCAAATTCTGCAAGAGACTGTGAGGAAACAACTTATCTGTAACACGACTTAATTTATGTGACTTTTTTCGAGCTGAAATTGAGTTTCCTTATCTTTTGCTGTTGTATTCTTGATTTTCTTTTCACTTGATTGTTAAAAACTTATACAGGGTCGGTCCCCTGGTTTTGATCCACGGAAAGCACCTGGCACCTGTGAGGACATTGTTGTGGTCGTCTTCCTTCACACACAAGACATGGCCCGACCTAGGAACCTTGGGTTTGCTGGTGCTTGGTTTGATGAGGGTATGGCCCTCAGTTCAGAAGTACCTCAGTTCCCAACAGAATCACTTCAGTACCTCATACCTCATGCATCCTCATACCTATAGTTGAGTACCTCATACCTATACCGTTTTTGAGAACTGTTCATGTTGGCTTGATGGTATTGCTATGTATGGTTTCTCCCCATATCCCGAACAGCTATTCCATGCTATTCGAGTCACTCCAAGCGCTCTAGGAGGGCTCAGATCCTGGTGAGGCTGGGCAGGCAAAGGGCAGGCAGAGGGTCTCAGAAAGGCATAAGGCAAACGTTCTGATTGTCCCTTTGCAATGCCAAACAATCAAAGGGAGAATCAAAAGGGACCAATTGCCCTCAGAAAGGCTTGCTGCACCAGCCTCGAAAGACCTAAATCCCTCAGAAAGGCTTGCTGCAAACGTTCTGATTGTCCCTTTCTAGCTTCGAATTGACATAGTAAAGAAGATTGCCCCTCAGACTCTCTACGAAGAAGCGGAGTTTGAGTCCATCCAGGCTGCCATCCAAATGAACAGCACACTGACGTGCAGGGAGCAGAAACGAACGGGGTGACGCTACAATCGCATAGCGTCTGCAAGAGAAACCATCCTATAGTGCTTCATGCAAAGAATGAAAGCTGGTGATTTGTTCTTAGCTAGTTTGCTGCTTGCACCAGCCATTTTGAACCATGTCCACATCCGCTCCACATCCGCAGGGCACCGGCGATCTGCGATTCGCCAGATTCCGGAGATTCGGAGAGGACCTCTCTGGTTCTATACTCCTTGAAATAATCATGATGGTGTTCGTGGAAAACCACCACCAGTTGGGTCTTCGTTCTCCTTTTCATCCGAACTCGGAGCCATTTGTATATGATTAACTAACCATGCGACCATGCATCTATTGTCAGGGATGGATGCATGTTTTACGCTTGCTTAAACGGCCAAGACGCCCCACACAAAAGCCCACCGCCGCGCCTGGATCATTTCTTCCGCCGAATGGATCTGTGCCTTGGCAGTTCCACGATCGAACCAACCAGGAGAAAGTACGATAGATGCCTCAACACACCTCCAATTACAGGAGAATTATGGAGACATGTCGTTATTGTTTTTTTTCAAATTCGATATGGGTGGATATGGCTGCCCTAACCCATCCTAACCCCCAAAACACCGGCGAAAAACCCAACGCTGTTCCCACGGTTCGGCTCCAAACCAACATGTCGGTCGCGACCGACGACCAACGACGTCAGTGTGCCTGCAGGTCCTCGCGGTACCGGCGAAGTGCCAACCTGGCAAGGGTCGGTGGCGAATCCCAAGCGCTGCCGAAATCGACCAAACCCACAGGAGCCGTCACCACTAGTCACTAGTAGGCCACCTTTAGCCGGAACATGTTAGGCCATCGCTAGTGCCATGGAGCATGGAATGTAATCATCCTCACCCTTGGCTGCTCCAGACGTAGGGTGTACCCTGCCACCCTTCCCCTTGGATTCCGATCCATGAATCGGGCACAAACAACCCCCTGGCAAACCATGCACTACGACCCCGTCGACACTTGGTGTCTTTGGATCTTCACTGGCGCGAGCTTACTGTATCCCAGACGCTCCATGTATGGTATATATGCCTACTTTGGGGTGGTTTGAGGTGTCTATGTAGGCATATATATATATGGAGCTTCTGGGTATGGTATGAGAGTCGGGAGCCAATGGTTTCCCAATTAAAAGAATCCTCCAGGTCGCTCTCGACCAGAAGCTTGGGGAATGGTCCGGTTTATACCGGTTTGTATACCATCATCCACATCCATTGATACCCCCAGGACGCCAAGTAAGCACGAACCAATTCCAGTCACTCCAAGGCAACGCCAAAGTACAAGGTAGTTGGGAAGACTGGACCCGGGCTCGGTCCCTTCCCAAGAGCTCCCTGCTTAATGAAGAAGTGGAGGGGCGTATCCAGTATCGCTCCCCTCTGAGCACCAGCTAGCTAAAAATAGCGATGCACTTGTTACTAGTAGAAATGCACTTTGTTACTAGTAGCGATACACTTGTCCAAGAAATCTCTACCCAAATGATACACTGGCAACTTTGGGGGGACAGTGTCAAGGTACTGACGCTACACTGGCGCAGGGGGCACTCTTCAAACATCTTCTTCTTCAGCACTTTGACCCCGGACCCGGGGAGAGGTAGTTTTTGGTGTCACTACCTAGCTGGATCTTCCAACTGCAAAATGTCTGCCAAACTTGGCTGGTTTTATAGATGAAAAGGATTGAAAAGGCAGAAGTTCTGTTCACTTGGATCTGCTCCAGGTATGTGGTTGGAAGATACCTGGTGAATCCCGCCGAAACACTTATACCTTGAAACCTTGAAACCTGGGGACATAACGACACCGTGCATCATGATCCCCCTCAAAAGCCACTGTGTTTCTACTTGTTTGTTCTAAAGTCAGCAGTTTCTTTGGGTTCATGTGCGTGACGCTGCGATCACTGATCACTGGGTTCTGAACGACACGCGTTTCATCCGCCTTAGTTGTAACATGTTGTAACACCAGCCTTCAACTGCCGCGGTTTCACATCTCCTTTCAATTTCGTCTTCCACCAATTGCTTTAGGAGCTTCTGGGTGGTGCAAAGCCTTCCTTTCGCCCAAGTTCTCCAGTTCCAACGCCTGTCTTGCAAGGGAAGATCTGAAAAAAAAACATACAAACAGCATGGGGTCAAGCGCCACTCATGAATATCATGAATTTAAGACTGTGGGCACAATTCCTGCGCTACCCATCATGTAGACTCTTGACAAAAAAATAAACCTCCCGGATTTGGATCGAAACACCATAGGGGGGATTCTTAATCAAGAGTCTACCCAATCCTCAACCGATGGGGAGCGTCTGCGCGAAGCGCGCAGAAGCATGGATGGAAGCTATCTAGAGCTGCAGTTTCAACGAGATCCACTATAGTAAAACTTTCAAAGGGTGCCGAACATCTGCTTTGCACCGTCGAAAACCGGTGATTTCGCTTCGCCATCGCACCCGTGCCGCCGCACCCGGGCGAAAACACCCGTCCGACGCCTCAAAAGTTGCCGCTCATCGCAGCGGACCTCTGCGAGCGACGGTCTACGAGCGAACGGAGCAGGGAGGATGTTCGTTTGTGTCCGCTGGTACGTGGACGAGCGAGACCTAGACATACCAAGACCTTCTTCATGCACTTTTGGGTTGATTCTTGAAGACCCTGTGTCTTCCGCAAACCACGGTATCCAACGCAATTCTTTTGATTCTGTGAAGGTAAGAGCATGAAAAAACCGGCGCCGCAAACGCCTTGATTTCTTGAGCCATTGAGCACAGCAGTATGCTGTATGTGAAAGACCTTTAGGGGAACCTCAGTCGAGAAGGCCATCCAGGTTGGTAGCTCGTCGGCTTGCGGTGGTGAAAGTCCTTCTCCTCTCAACCCTCGTTCCCAAACTTCTTCACGCAGGTCAATCTCACCACACTGCGCATGGCCTCGAAGCCTGGTCATACCAAGTCACCCATCACATCCTCAGTGACTCGTGCATTGATTGCACGCTCATCATATGCGATCTCGCTTGCAGCACCTCCCAAGGCTGAGCTCTAAGCCACTGCGCTCAGCCCTCGCTCCAGCGCCCTCGACCAACCTGGATCTCCACTGCCATACCCCCAGACACTTCCAGCTGGTGGCAAAGGATTTTTTAATGCAGGAGGTGGTGCAAAGTGAACAAAAAAGAAGCTATGGCCCTTCCACTCATAGACCCCTAATACGTCGCTGTTACGCTCGCCAGTCCAGTCATCATGAATCACTTCCCTGTCCATGGTAGCCTGGCACTTGTTCGATGGAATGCCACCATCACCCTCGTCGTCGACAGCAACAGTCGATTCGGTCAGAGCGAACGACGGGGTCGAGACACGATGCCGTGTCGGTGGTTGGGTCGGGTTCCCTCGACCATCTTGACTCTTTTTTTTCGGCTGAGATCTCTTCAAGTGCACGCCTTGGATCTCAGCCAGGGTTGGCCAATGAGACTTGTGCTCCGCTCTTGAGTGATCTCCCTGAGTCCTATGCTTCCAACACAAGCTAGCTAGGTGTGTTGGTCTGACCGGGCCAGCTGGCCTGAGAGATTCTGTGGATCGGGTGTCCACGTGGCAAGTCCTACAACGCTAGCTACCGTGGCAACGAGCTTGGCTACACCTACCGCTCGACTACCACTCTCACTCACAGCACTGTCGACCCTGGCGCCCAGGAAAGTGTACGCAGCTGTTCCCAAGCTCCAGCCACGTTGATAGGTTTTGTGAGCAGATCAACTGCCAACTCACTCCCACTTCCAGGTGAGTGCTGAAGTTTCCAGCAATTCATGGCCGAGCACTGTGCAGCGAAGGCGCAAGTGGCGAGTCCGCCAAGGGCCATCAGGAGCCTGCTGTCATTGAGTCTCTGATCAGAATCTGCTCCTCCAGGGCGCCGTCCTCCAGGATGTTGACTACAGTTGCAGCTGATTCTCCAATGACTGCATCCACATATCCCAGCAGTTCAAAGAGGAACCAGCTTTTTCCTCCCCACTGCTACTTCGGCATCTGACGCCGGGACCAAGGCTTCTCGCACACGTTGTGCCCGGTCACCTTCACAAGCGACCCACCAAAGGACATCCAAGGACTGGGGCCCATCAACGTCATAGTGGCAAATGGATTCGACAGCTGACCGCTTTTGTGCCACCGCTTCACCTTCACCATGATTTTCTGGCCAACATTACACCCTGCAACACATCGTCGATGCTGCGAGATGCCATGACCTCCACCAAAGTCAAATTCCGAAGAGCATGAGGACGAAGCAACCCCTTCAGGCCTGCCAGCTCTTACTTTTCAGGTCCACCTCCAGATCACAAGGTCTTCCCGCTATCTGGGGCCATCTCCACCTCTTCATCCTCTTCAGGCAGGGTTTGAATCACTGCTGCTTCATCGGGAGCACTTGAGTCTGCTTCCATCGGCTGCACCTGCTTGGCCAGGGGATAGGAACCGTAGCAATGACGACCTGTGCCAGCATCAAGTCCATGTAGTTTCAAACGGCCCGGCAATGTCAACACTCATGCAAAGTGCCCATGTAGCCAGCTTCAAACGTTTGTGTGCCTGAACTCCCATGGACTCAATGCACACTCTGCAATCACGGCGATATGGAGTGTGTTGCATAGCCGCATGCTTTCTGCAGGCGGTTAGGTCCATCTTTGCCAAAGACCGTTTGCCGTGAATCGCCTGCGCTTCCTGAAGTCGATGTCAATGATCCTTCACAGCCAAGCGAACAACATGCACTAGTCCTGGAGACCACTCAGCCCAACTTCGTGATTCCTTCGCCCGATCATGCCTTGGACCATTCCCTTTTCCTGACCTCCACCACGAAGTTCTTGCAACTGGCTAAGATCTGATAGATTCGTCAGCAACGTAGTTGGTTTCCTGCAAATGTGTCCGGAGCCCACGCGCTGCACCACCTCCGGAAAACACAAAAACGATGCATATTCCGTGTCATCATTATGGTTGGCATACTCTGACGGATCTTGAGGCGACTCCATCAAGAAACCCACCGAGACATCGGTTGAGCTCACCTCTTCAGCCGAACTTCAGCCTTCTCTCACAATGCCAACTGCTTCAGCATTAGTGCTGAGTCACCATTCACCAACTCCTGCAGGCCGCACTTTCTCAGGTGATGAGCCCACTTCGTAGTGAGTCCAAGAAGCCTTTTTGTCAGAATTCTGTGCACAAACTTTGCATCCAAGCCCCCACGTCGGCCCAGAAGGAGCCTCTGCCAGAAAGGGGCAAGCCCTGATCCAGCGAGGTCTGTTCTTCATCCACTTGCACCGATTGCAATTCTTCACAGCTGATTTTTCACAGCCGTGTCTTGCAACACACGAGGCAGCATGAGCATCTTCAGATGCGTAGGTGCGCATTGGATTTGGAGTTGGAAGACTAAAATTAGCCGCTGCTACATGTCTGTCTGTTAACTGTTCTTGGGCCGGGCGGATTATGTCTCAGTCGGCTGACCGACCGGCAAGGTGGCCCCCAAATCACTGCCAAGATTCTTCCTGCACATGAGCTCCAGAGGCATGCCCACACTCCGCTCGCAGTGCGGTGTCGACAAAGATCCACTGGGCCCCATTCCAGCTCGACGGAACCCATCGCCGAACATCCGGGCCTGAGAACAAATGCACCACCACTCCAGGGCCCCTCCAATGCGGCGATTCTATGGTAGCATCCATTGACTGGAGTCACAACCGTGGCCAGACATGTACTTCAACACTTCCTCGGGAACCTGCGGGAAATGCTGTTCCATGCTGTTCCCACCAAAGCCGCTGACACTTCGAGGTTCACAAACTGCTGCGCCTGTCACGAAATCTGCTCTTCGAGGTTCACAGTGTGCTGCACGTGCCACGAAATCTGCACTTCAAGGTCCACAAAGTACCGCGCCTGCCACGAAATCTGCAAACTACCCACATGTCATGTCCAAAAGTCACGATTCAATGCACCTGTCACGAAATCAGAGCGCCTCGAAGATTGCCACCATGTCCAAAGTGCTGCACCTGCCACGAAATCTGCACTTCAAAGTAAAACCGCTCCGATCCCCTGCACCTGTCACCATACAAAAGTCGACTTTGGACCACCAAAACACGAGGTTTCCCTTGCGCACGCCACGAAAAGTGACCATCATTTGCGAAAATGCGCACGGCACTACAACGAGAGCACAGTCGCGACAGTCGCACCCGCGCCAGCCCATCAGATTCTGCGAGCCTGCGCAGTCGAAATGCACTTCGAGGATTTCGAGAGGCATGACGTACAGTAAATAGCAGCGAATTAGCCGGACATGCCCGCACAACACCTCGCCTCTGCTTAACCATTACCGTAAGAACCCCTATAGTGTGTCAAAAACAGCAGCAACAACAACAACAACTTCAACACCCGATGAGAATCAGCTGCCACTCTCAGTATCTCTCAGTCCCTTCTTCGCCCTTTTTCTCGCTCCTCCTCTCCGCTTGCTCCCAACGGCTCGCTTGGCGCTTTCTCTTAGGCTCCCAGGCCCCCCCCGTCGGGAAAGAAGCTGGGCCGCTCCTCCGGATGCTGCCGGACACGAAGGTCTCGAACAAAGGGTTTGGTCCCGTTTGGTCTCGGAGCGAGGCCGGTCCGGCGAAGAAAAGAAAGAGTACTAGTAGCGTCCGGAGCTCCTGGTAGTAAGGCGGCCAGGAGCCCCGTTCGTAGCGTCCTTGCCCCCTTCGTAGCGATGCCCTTTGCTCCCAGCAGCGTCCGATCGCTCCTAGTTTGATGTTTTGATGTTTGATGGTGTTGGACTTCGGTGTTGGTCCGGCCCGTCCGACACAGGTGGCCTTGTGTATGCGGTGGGGGCATTCCCACACAGAAGGGTTCGGGGACCCGTTCTGTCCGGGGCTGTTGATCCCTCCACTGTGAGTGAGTGAAAGGGAAGGTTCACCAAAGGATCTGCAGCTTCGATCTCTAGAGCATGTGTTTTTGGTGACGTGAGTGACATGGGGATATATATATATATCGTTCAACCTGGAGCCCCAAGAACCATGTGCCTAGGGCCTTTCGAGGTTTTTGGTCGTGCCCGGTGGGTGTCCTGGTTTCAGAAACCACTGCCAGGAACGTGAGTTGCACCCTGGAAGTCTTAGGTGGCGGCGTGGGTTTTGGTGGGGTAGTCGTGTAAACGTACTTGCTTGGTCATCAGTTGGGTCGCCCTCGCCGGCCTGCGGTGGCCAGGTAGGTGCAGGCAGTGTGAGGGTATATCGTCCTTTTTCCCGTCGGTTTGGGTGCTATGTTCAAAGCAAATGCCTAAGAAGTGTTCTGTACCTCCTGTTCGTCGTCAAAAAGGATATGATTCTATCATACACTCCTCACCCACAGCAATCTTCGGGGGAAACTGCTACCTGCGGAGACTCTGTACCCAACACACAGCAGGCTTTGCTAAACCAAGCTTGCCAAAATGAGCGGCACAACACCATCCCCATGCCAAGACCATGCAAGACCCATCTAATGGATGATGTCCGGACACTCCTTGCCCAGTAATGTTGGATGCTGATTAGTAATAGGGCCCTCTATAATGCTAAATGATTGAAAAATATTTCTTGACATCTGTTTGTTTTAAGGGTCCTCTATTATGCAAAATGTTTTTGGATCCTAATTGGTTATTATTTGAAAAATATTTAGGGTTAATTATGTGTCCTTTAGAAACATAAAAACAGCAATTCTGAATACTACTAAGCCAATGGTTTGCTTGCTGAAAGTATTGATATATAAGTATAGGTTTCTATAGTTCTTCTTCAAAACTGTCAGCTTCCCAAAACCATCAATCATGTATGTAAAGATTGCTCCTAAACAAAATTCAAGGTAGTAGACCAGCAAGGCCCGTGATCCTCAATAATGAATATGTTTTAAGGGTCCTCAATTGTGCAAAGGTTCTTCCTGAAGAAAAACAAAAATAGTACTGCTTAATACCACTAAGCCAATGGTTGGCTTGCTGAGAGTATTGATAAGCATAGGTTTATCAAAATCTTCTTCAAAACTCACAGCTTCCCAAAGTCATCAATTACTTAATCAATCTTTTATGTAGTAGTATGAAAGGATTGCAAAGAATACCTAATGACAAAGAATTTCAGAAAAGGAAAATGAATACTACATCAATTACACAAGGAATCCTCCCAGGAACCCAGATTTGTTTTGGTGGTAGTTTATTATAGAGGATCCTCCATTTGTTTGAGGGAGGGGGGGGCCCCTCTACTAATCAAGATCCAACATTATAAGGGATCATGAGAAATCCCCATTGTTCAGTTGAAACCACAATTCAGGCACCTTCGAGCCCCTTTCCACATGCTCCACCATTCGTCCCAGCTGCGCAGCTGAACGCAGCTGAACATCATCACTCGGCGACCCTCCGCCCTTCGAGGAAGCGAAAATACCCCGGCGGACGAAACGCGGACGAAACGCGGAAGGTGAGAACCACAGGTGAACGTGGTCGGAGCAAAGAAGGAGACGCCTTGAGACCCAAAGCCACCAAGGGGGTCACCCATGAGGACGACGGGAGCTAGCAAGGTTTGGGAGGTCTTCCTATTGTAACACACACCCAATGAATGAAACAACGGATCACCACTTGCCCCTGATTCTCCCTACGCCCACGCACGCCGAAGATGCCTCAGCAGCCACAACCGGCGGCGAGCAAATCATCGCCTGCGGGCTGTGCTGTCGCTGTCAGTACACTCCCGAAAACTAACATGCCAAGACGCGACCCTGGGCCCTCATCTGGAGGGGTCGGACCCTCATCCTCTGGAGGGGTCTGGGGTCGGACCAATCCCTAGGTTTTCAGGGACCTGTCGGGCTGCTTTCACGGAGCGTCTGGGTGGAACCTGAAAACCACGTGAAAACCGTTGGACGAGGAAAAAGATAGGTCCATGTTCCGGATCCCGGGTCGAAGGGCGCCCAGTCGTACAGACTGTTGTCCTCGTAAACCAGTGGTTTTTCAGGGTCGATGTCAGTCTTCAGGCGGCGGTAGCGTAATGGTGTGCTGCACATCCCCTCAGCGTTCCGAGTAAAACCGGGGCAGAAGTGCTGTTGTGGAAGGGCGGCTCATGGGGACCTGTCTTGGGAGCCCACCGGATGGGGGGCAAGTGTGATCCTCCTTTCGTGAAGCAAGTATTTCATGCATTTAGATGGAGGAGTACATATGTGTTGGAGTATGTCTCACCCTTCTAAAAAAGAACGTGTTCTCATATTTCGTCGCGCTCTATCTCTATCCCAGACACGACCCATGGGATTGCCGTATTTGCCGATCAGGTTTGGGGGATCAAAGTAGGCAGCAGGCACATATGGCAGTCCCAGACAGGGTCATGTTTGGGTGATCATTGCTTCAGAAAACCGATGCCATAGAATCACCCATTCTAATTCGGATATAATATATATATATATATACCAGGACCCTCCTGTCGGGGTGTCTATTTATAGCCCCAAACAGCTGTGATTCGGACTGTCCATCAACCACCCCTTGGGTCGGCCCTGGTATATCTTTGCCATGCCGAATCATATGCCATCTCTGCAGCGCCACGGAAGGATTCGCCCCCCAAACACCGGTCCCGTTCCGAGACAGGGACCAGTGATGGCAGACCAGGTGAAGGATGAGCAAGCGGCTCTTGAAACAGAGCTTCATGGTGGAGGACTTCAGTTTTGAGAAAGGGACTTCAGTAAGGGTTTCTATGCAAGGCCTTCAGTCATGAGCAAAAGCTCTTAAATACTGGCTGTGGTTGTCGGGCTTTCACTCGAAAAAAGACACACGACCTCCTGCCTAAGCAAAACGATCTTCCACACAGCACAAAAAGGCTACGCCCCGGTACGCAGCTTCCTCCTCTGAGCGAGTCACTCTACTTGTCGTATATTCGAACATCTTCGAACCCCTTCTCCATCCAAATTCCAGATGCGGAGTGAGGAGTTGCCTACTTCAATCTCTTCCATTTCTCTTCATTTCCCCATCTCCTCCCCTCAAAACAAAACGAAAATCACAGAAACAAAACGCTCGCTC